CAATTTCTATTTGCTCCCTATATATATGGATTTTCAGTGTTACATTGTCTGAAAAGGCCGCAGAATGTCCCAACGTCTCTACGCTGGCGGAAATACTAGTATTTCCTGGGTTCTCGATACGAAGACTTTTGTGTTCGGATCGGAACGGCCGGGTGGGAGCGGGGTTTTAATTTGAGCTGCAGAGTGACATCATCCTCTAGTTTTGGCCAATAATGTTGGCACATTGTCGTCACGTGCATTGTAGACCAAAACAAAAACGTGCGAGAATAGTTCGCGGCAGAAGAGTTGGACCGCTGTTTAGCTTTTGTAAACACTGCTTATTCCTGAAGATTATAGTCTGTACTGCTACCATAAAGAGCACAAAAGCATGGGTCGAATATTTCTTGCTCATCCTGGAGGAGCTAGACTTTATTCTTGCGCGAACTGCGACACTGCTTTGACGAATCGATCTCAACTAACATCTATGGTAAGCTTAGCTACGAATAGTGACAGGAAAAAAATAAACATTAAGATTGATGTTTTCGATTTATCATCTTGTAAGTTTCACAAGGAGAATATCTTTCTCCAAGGACTATCGCTGTTGAGTAACAAACTAGATTTGAGGTACAATAGAGTACCTTCTTTACGTGATGCTTTACTTTTCCGTTCAATACTTGTCGCTCGAGGAATTAAGAAATTCGCTTTCAACATTGTAATGAAATTTATTTGTATTATATTGGCTTTGTGTACTCTCTTATGAGGAATAGTGGCATTTCATTGGCTGTTGCGTAAAGTAATTTAAATTTTTTGGTGGCTGGTTTGCACGCAATGAAAAGTTTTGGAAAGAATTGAACCTTCCGCATTGAACCTGGTGCGCTCAGTGGAACTATTATCGACCTAGCTAACACTCATGTTTATGTTTCGGATAACAGAACATTTGAAAGTCACTGTTTTGTTCCCTTTCTGCCTTTATTTCTTCATGTATATCAACTGCTGAGATGAATTAATAATGTATAACTCAAGATTAGCGGGGCTATTTAATAACAATTTTTAAAAAATTGCCCTTAAAGATATGTCGTCCATTTTTTCCTTTACATTTTGATGTTAATAATAACCATAAAATTTGAAACGGTTTGCTAGCAAGTAGCAATTTATTCAGAAGCCACTCACCTCTCTCCAATTACAGATTTCTCTTATCTCATATTTTTTTCAATGCTGCATTAAATACTACTAGCTACGCTATTCGCTTTTTATTCCATGATAGGTCATCATTACAGCGAGTAGTCTAACTGTGTGTGGTTGTAAACAAAATAAAATACAAACATGAGCCAGCCAGTTTTGAACTACTTATAAAAACAAAAGATTATTCCCTCCCTCAGATGTTGCTTTCATGAATTATCAGGTAGTCAAAATCTGGAGCTCATGATCTAGTCATTAAACAACTGAATACCATTGGAATTTTCATTTGTTTTTTATTTACTATATTAGTTTTAGGATTAGCTAAGTAGTCCCATACAGACAGTCTACTGTATTCAAAATTGTTCTCCATAAGTACGGAATGAAATGTCATTCCGCAGATAGAAATTAGTTACTTTTGTTGACACATAATCTTCCAGCAATTTCTCTGGAAGAGAATCACTCTTGCCTTGATTGTTTTACTTCAGAGTTTTAATTGATTGAAAAAACACTTAATTTGTTTCATTGTCTTGTAAATACCAATAGAAATTTACAGGGGCTACTGGAAGAGCATTCCTCTTCAAGAAAGTGTAAGTGTTCTTGATTGTCCTTTTGTTTATAAATTAATGATAACATAATTCATATAAAAACACTTTTTGAATACTTAACCAATTATCAGTTTAGCCCTGTATCAAGGCAAAGACCTTACAGAGAAACTATTTTTCCTTAAGCTCCATGTTGATAGATCAGTGACAGGAAATATAATTTATTGTAACCTTATGTCTATCCATACCTTGTGGTAATGGTTACCCAAATTAAAGGTTACTGACTCAGGAGGATACCTAAAAAAAATGGCAACCCAACAGTCTTGTCCCCAAAAGTCTGCTTACATTCAATCCAAATATAACAGGAACCTCTGGCCTTTTGAGTCAACAGCACTAATTTCAGATTACTTTTATGATCCTAGGGTGAATTTGTCCTACAGTGAAGTTCAAGACAGAGTAATGGTAGGCTAATTCAGATTTTTCTGTTAGTGTATTCTGATACCTCAAGCAGCAAGGTACAAACTGGACAGGAGCAGGTAGATTAGCCCAGAACAGAGTGCGATGGCGAGGGGTCGTCGATGGCCTATGCTCCACACAGAGTTACAGGCCTTAGTAGTAGTAGTTTATTCTGATCCCTAAAGGCTGATCAAAAGCCCAATCTATTAACTCTTTGAACCATGATTTGACTCGCACTCTGACTGAACCTTTACATGTTTGTTTTTATAGCTTACTGGAAGGCACATGGTCCGAGATGTTTTTTGCAAGAACTGTGATACAAAACTGGGGTGGATGTATGTAAGTGACAGTCACCGTTAGCTTTATGTCTGTCTACAAATGTTGTTCAGCTGATATCTATGTAACTACGAAAAAAATCAGAAAGGAGTGAGCAAATGAATGCACTACTAGGTATCTGGAAGGATATTATATACTTTGAAATTGTTTTCAAACAACTACTGTGTACTTAACTGCATATGTATCTTTTATACCATTCTCTCAATGATTTCAGGAATATGCAACAGAAGAGAGCCAGCAGTACAAGGTTAGTTTTATTTTCATATTCACTTTTACATGATCATGGATACTTGGTTAAAATGTTGTAGATGCATAGCTTAGTAATACATGTTGAAAGAGGAACATTTTGTACTTTCAGGAAGGTCAAGTTATTCTGGAGCGAGCACTGGTGACTGAGAGTGAAGGAATTGAAGAAATTGGTGACTAGTTGCATTCTGTTATGTTTAAAAAACAATTAAAGGGTGAGAATCATTATGGGCATTTATGAAGCCAAGGTAGTAAATAGACAAATTTCTTGAGAAAAAGTAATGTCAGATTGTTATACAGTTTGATTTTATATCATAGAAAAAGTTGTAGTTTTTCATACTGATTAGATACAGTAGCTAACTGTGATTATTCAAAATGGTGAAGTACAACAATGATGAACTGTTTCCTTGAATCTCATGATACAGTCACTTCCAATGTGAACCACAACATACGATGACGCCCTTGCTGTGATTGTTTGGTTGTCATATGATTTGAATTGATTGTATCATGAAAAATAAAACCAAACAAAATATACTTTCATTTTATTACACTTCAGTGATACTTCAAAGATGAATAATTTTGTTCTTTGAACTCTAAAATCAATTTTGCATTATTGAGCTTCTGTTATTGGTATCTTAATTAACTGGACACTGCCCCTTCCCACTCTTCAACACAATTGTAACATAGTGTGTGCCATTAAAAAGATTGTAAATATCTTAGATAACTTTGCTGTCGGGTTTAATAAGCATTTGTATGTATAGTTTGTACAGAGCAAAGTAAAAAAAAACTAGGTTACAAGAGAAGCTTTATTCATACTAAGTTCTAATCTCTATTTAAACTATGAATCATAATTTAGCATTGCTAATTAAATGCAATTCAAAGTATTCAAAGTATTTAATAAAGAAGTTAGTAATTTTTAGGCTTCTTCATGTGAGATTTACCTAATACTTATGTTAGGCTGTCTCTTTGCATTAATTCTCACACATTTTATTTGTGTTGAACAGCACTGTAATACAAGCCTTTTACATTATTTTGTGGTTTACCTTAATTTAAACAAGAGTGATCAGTGTCTGATCATTCTTCAAATGACTATTGATAATTATAAATCAGCTAGTGCTGGAAATTGCAATAACCCCAATGTCTACTCAAATGGTTAAATAGTATGATGAATTCAAGTTTTTGAATGTCTCATTACTGAATATTGTGGAAGAGCTGTTGTGTCCAGCCTGAATTTTTCAGTTCAACACTTTTCAGTAAAGCATTTTGACAGAACCACTTTTACCAAAATTTCAACTTTACCTCTTAAAAACAATAGTTTTTTCCAGCACTGGTCATGTCTAATTATAGGGGTTGTGCCTATTGCTTAGGATTAAGTGCAAGGTGATCACCATTGATTGACTTAAAACTATTTATGGAATAATTTACCATTCAAAACTTTTGCAAAAATGTAGGGATTGAACAACCAGAAACTAAAAGTGTGATGCTTTGTGGACATTCCCTTAGAGATACCTTTTGAGTCTCTGATGATTATCTCCTCATGACCATCAAACTTGATATGCATGTTTAATGAAAATTTTGATAAATCTTTTGCACATTGCAAGGGTACAACTGAGTCTGAATCTTGCCATTCTCTCAGATCTTTCACTGGCATCAGTTTATCTCATAAAATTATTCGCAGCAATTTTTTATGTGTCAAGATGGCCTTTTGTAGGTGTACTTAGTAAAGAGATGTATTAACAAATACATTGAAATAAAATGGATTTATGGAATTTGTTTCTGTTGTTAGTGATTTGTTCTCTCAGACTGAGAACATGAAAAAACTGGAAGAAGAAAACTGTAACAATGCTTGGCCTAGAGATATTTCCTCTCAACTAGTACAAGGAAACAGGAGGAAATCATTGTCTATTTTGTACAAAAAGAGAATGTATCAGGATTTTTCTTTTTGACTTAGCTATTTAATCTCATATACCATGGTTTGTAACAAAAATACCATAATCTAAGCCAAGCGGATTGAATTGGAAAAATACATTTACCACTTGTCATTATTATAAAACTGTGATGATGGCGCACTGCAAATATTCATCAGCCTTTGGAAGTTCCTCGAAGACGAACGTACTTGGACGCAACCGGAAACAAAACGTGCACCGGAAGAACTGGAAGTTCAGTCCAAGTGACAAAAACAATAGCAGACCAATCAGCGTTCGGGATATAAGCTTAAACCCACCAGCTCTTTAATGTCACGTGAATTGCGAACCATAACAAAGCAGTGCAAGGTTCGTAGTTAAAGGACTTCTTCCGTAGCCTTGGCCGGGTGTTTGTGTCTATATATCGTTCGATTCTAAGACCTACTCTCAGAAAAAATACACAAAAACATGGGTCGTATATTTCTCAATCACCCCGGCGGGATCACTTTGTATTCTTGTGCGAACTGCGATACAGCTTTGACGAACAGATCGGAGTTAACATCAATGGTACGTACGCGACTAATAAATACTGGCTTCTTGGCTTTCACCTTGGGTTGATTTTTACACAGATCGAATATAAATTGGAGGAAGACTGGCATACTTCGTTTTAACATGTCATTCTTGAATTTTGTTTTGTTTTGGAGATCCGTTGCGGAAATTACCCACGTCTGATCTCGCTTTTTGCGTCAGATCGAAAATTCAGTATCATTTAAATGTGAACTTTCCCCAACAATCAGTTACCTTGTGAACGATACCAAAGTGCTGTTGATAATTCCTTTTCGCCTAGTCTTCACGATGATTTTTCCCAAGTTACTATCAATCATGCTTCGACTTTGGAAATTTTGTGAGTTTCGGAATGATTGAAATTGAAAATTTACTCTATGCTATTTTCAGCTGTTAAAGTGTCAATTTCGTCAGATAATTCTGACTGGAAATAATATTTCCGATTAAAACCACAGTCTTGCATTCCCTTCGCAGATTATTTAACATTAATTTGTTTTTGTTTCCGTTTGAATCATTAACCCTCTAATCAGAGATTCAATGGAGCTACTGGAAGGGCGTTTTTGTTCAAGAAAGTGTGAGTGTCGTTTTTTTTCTTTTTTTTATCATTACTGTTTTTTTCCATTATCATCGTCATCGTCGACATTGTTGAAATTTAAGTCCAAAGCAAGTAGTATCAATTGGACATCATCACGTTACAATATTATTCCATCGATTTAAAAAAATAATTATCCGTTTAATCAATCCTTATATCATTTTTACTATTAAAAGTATAATGCATGTTGACAATCAGACATAGTTTGATGCTACTCTGGTTTACAGATTTAATGAATGTAACCAAAGAAGTTACAATTCACAGACCCAACATTTTGACACTCCTGTCTAGTGCCTTCATCAGGGGTAATCTAAACGCTACAACAAGAGGTCCTTTTAGACAATCACTAATTAGCTGCCTTTAAAAAAAAAAAAAAAAGGCAGCTGATTAGAGATCATATAAAAGGACCTCTTGTTGCAGCATTTAGATCACCCCTGATGAAGGCACTAGACAGGAGTATCAAAACGTTGGGTCTATGAATTGAAACTTCTTCGGTTACATTCATTAAATCTGTAAACCAGAGTAGCATCAAACCATGTCTGATTGTCCACCTGGTTGCCATGTGAACTTTAATGTATTGAATGGTGAAAATATTACCATTTATTACTGTTATAGCTGAGTGTTTTTTAACTTACTGTTGACTCATTTTTGTTCAAGTCTTTTATTGGATAGTGAATGAATATAAATTTTGAAACTGTCTATGACTAAGAAAAAGCCAAAGCTAAACAGATTTCCTCTGTCTTACAGGGTTAATTTAACATTCAGCAATGTTCAAGATAGAGTAATGGTATGTTATTACTTTATGGTGGTATATATTACTGGTTTAATTAACTCTTAAGCTCCCATGATCTGATAGTTAATTCTCCTCTCTAGGTGCTACACATTTCCTTGTAAATTAGTAATAAGAATTCAGTATTAAATCAAGTCAACAAATTCTACCCAGTGAGTTTGGGTATTCTCTTAATGTGTTTGCTGGAAAATGTATGGATGTTATTGGGGGGAAGTTACATTTTAATAACTATTGGAAGTTAAAGTGTTAAAATTGATTCCAAGGGTGCAGGGTCAAGGTTTTCCATCAAGGAGCTTCTGTATTAAGGAGGCAAGTTATATAAGTGGGACCATAGGTTATAAGGGCCACCTTGTTTAACTAGGAAAAATAACAATTTATGACAATAGAACAACAAGCCATTGCCTAAATTCCAGTCACATACAACTTAAAAACCTCCTAGCTATGCCTGTGGAATTGTTTCTTTGCAATCTGAAGCTTATAGCTTGCATCTGTAGCAATGTATACTTAATTTGAAATTTCAGTTTCTATTTGCTGTAAGTTTACTTTAGTTCAAATTCTTTCTGCAGCTTACTGGAAGGCACATGGTCAGAGATGTCTTCTGTAAGAACTGCAACTCAAAACTTGGCTGGATGTATGTAAGTGTTCAGGAGCACTCCATGTTTTTTTTTGTTTTCGTCTTTTTCTATCATCACATCTTTGGGAAACAAAACTAAAGGGCTTTTTAGAATGAGAAAATCATTTGCCTACAGGATAGTTTCAAATATCTTTGGGAAATAAATTGATTAACTGATTCAATGTAATACTGGTCTGCAACATGAACATGTGAGTGTGTAGGACACTTTTATTGCAATAATCAATTCAGATACTCAGTCACTGTAGCTTAAGTCAAACCAGTAGATTCAGGAAGTTGTTGTTGTTATCTATTTTAACTCATGTTTATCATCTCAGGAATATGCAACAGAGGAGAGCCAACAATACAAGGTACAATTAATGTTACTAAATCTAAAGTTATTAGACTTCAAGATTCGATCATTCCCTACCCAACCTACCCTTTACTTAACAGGTTCAACCAGTTCAGTGCCCAGTGTTTTCTTAACAGTTGTAGGACCATGGAGGGAAAGCAAATGCATGGTTTGGCATGGCCAGAATGAACTGGGCTGAGACACATCTAACATGAGACACACCCTGCCTCATCTGGGTCTCTTCTCAGTCTCTTCTCAGTCTCTGCTTTCCCAAAGTTTTTGCTCCATAATTGGGGCATGGGCCCTACCCCTTACTTAACCATTTATGCTCCATTTAGTTTATCTTACATTCTTTTTCAGTTGTAAAGCTTAGAAGTGTGGGGGCTCCTTCATGCAAAATTAGGAAATTCTTTTGATGTTATCATGGAAATGCATAACAAATGAAACTGATCTTAATTTTTCTATATTCTGTTGTGCAATGACTGTAGGAGGGCCAAGTTATTCTGGAGCGGGCTTTGGTGACTGAAAGTGAAGGAATTGAAGAAATTGGTGACTTTGATCAATAGCATTTCAGTTTGTTAACTTTTTGAGTTTCAGTGATGAAAGCTGTTGTACATAAAATATTATGAAATATTTAACATGATACTTTGGGCAAAGTAGGGAACTTTCAGAAATAAGATATTCCATCATTTGAATATTTAGACATTTGATTTTGAAATAAGGGTAAGGGCAACTCTGAACTACTTGTTTCCCATTTTTAGGAGTACAGCTTTAACAACAATTATCTGATCTGTTCATTGTTATTCAAATTATTATGAATGTTTCAGCTGCTTAAATTTTAGTTATTACAAGTTGCAAATTCTCCTGTACATAAAGTTTATACTGTATATATTGCATATACCAAATACCGATTGGCAAATTTTAATATATTTCACCATTGAGCATAAAGTAACAGCTTTTCCATATTAAGTAACATCAACATGGAACAAAATTTTGCATAATATAATGTGAACAATTGTACTTTGTCTCTGTATCAGGGATAAGTAAGGCAAATGAAAGTGTTTTTTCTGATTTATTGGTTTCCAAGACTGTTCTTGTTTTAACCTACAAAATCATTGTAATTTCACTCATTACAGAAATGGGATAAGAGCCGGTGGGAGAGGCTAGATTAATGGCATCTCAAGTTAATCTGTGAATTATTATTGGTGATTGTATTTAGACTATTAGGAACTAAGTTGTAAATTGGCAGAGTATGAGCAGAATCACTCACGCCTAATGAGGAACATTTTGGGCATTAGGAAACTTTTGAGCATTTTGAATTTTGCTTCAGTAAAAACTGATATTTACATTAAAAGGGTCATTCCAACATTCAGTTCATTTCAATCCTTCCCAATTTTGTTGATCTACACATTTGTTAGGACCTGCTACATCTAACGAGTTTTCCAAATATTTCCAGCTGTTTTTGATTCACCTTTGCAGCAATACTTTGGACTTTTGAACAATGCACCCCTATCTGATCTCTGTTGTTGTAATCAAGTTTGTTACCAGGTTTGAATCATTAAAGGTGTTGAACTTGTTCAACTTTGAGCAGATTGCAGGAATTTGAAATCAGGTAAGGGCTTCACAACCTACAAGTTTAAGTCACTTTTTTGGGTAAGATATTAAATCAAGAATCTGCTTTAATCAGTATGGTATATGCAATACATCCATGGATTTTTCTTTTCAGGGTTTCTTCTTAAAACCTACTACCAGTACCTTCCCATTCATGTTCCCTCTGTCTATTAGACAGTCCTTGTTGCACGTACCTAGAGTACCTACAAATTTCCATGTTCACACTTTTCTTTCAGGGTGGTTGACTAGTTTGGACTTCATTGATACTGTTAACATTTCAAGGCCCTCAGAAAATTATTAATTTTTCATGGCTTCAGAGGAAGCTTTAAGAAATGAGGGCTCACTAAAGATTCTTCGAGAGCCAAAATGAGGACAGTTTTGTTTTTTCTGAACGAACACTCCACCAAATTGAATATTGTATACAGTAAGCATTTCCTTGGTTGGAAACCAAACAACGTCATATCAGGATTTTTAAAGCATTAGCACTTTCCCTATTTTTCATTCTATAATTTTTGTCGAGGGGAAGGGATGCAGGGGAAAGATTAAAGAAGAAGGAGCCTTTTAGAAACTCAAGGCTCTAGGCAAACAGCATAGCCTATTAATAAGAGTGTTTATAGTATTTGTAAATGTCAGTCATTACATCAAACTGTCTCCCTGTTTTTTCTCTTTATTTGTTTTTTTTTTCTGAGGTTTTCAGTTTTTATTTGTTACTCATTAGTGAAGCATAAGTGTACAAGCACAACTACAGCCATCACATACTGCAATTCCAATAGAAGCTTATTTAGGTTCAAAGAATGATAATAATGAGAACTCATTAATTTTCTAATCTTTTTGTCTTTGTGTTGTATTTTTCTCAATTTTTTTTTTCTTAGTTTTCAATGTGAATTTCCTGATTTTTTTAAAATTTTCATTTGTTTTTACTGGTCTTTCAACCTGCAACTTCAGTTTAATAAAAAATGGTGTCTATTGAAGGAGACAATTTTTTCTTCCAATTATAAAGAGATTTTCTTTAAGTATGTAATTCTGCCAGATTTCAACAATACTGAATTATATACAGAAAGAAAGGAAAAGTTGTTCATCAAAAGGAAAAATTGAAACGGTGCCCACTACAATTTGAAAACAAGGAGTATCCTTAAGCCCAACAAGAACTTGCTAAACTGCCCAGACAAGACCTAACCAAACCTTGACCTCAACCAAAATTGAAAGGTTCTCCACACTAGGGTAACGCAATTTTTTTTTTTTCAACAAAAATTTAACATTCAAGACCTGCAATTCTCTTCATTCATGTAACATCAAATGTAACAAGAAATAGCTTTGACTAACATGTTATCCAGATATCTTAAATTACTGTCAATATGCAACATTCTTATCTCTTGCAAAAAAGAGGCATCTTTATGATAAAGAATACTACATCATTCCTGTATTTTCTGGAGAGACATGTCCTTCTTGTACAGATAATAGTACTAGTTAGTCTTTCCAATCTCAATGTAGTCAAAAATGTGGGGAAAGTGATTTGTTTCCTTCAGTAAATCACAACTGAATTGTCCGATACTATTGTATCAATTATTTAGCAGAACTAATAATTATTTAAATTGGAGTTAGAAAAGTCTTTTGTTATGATCATTGCCATAAGCAACATATAAAAGCTATAAATAAGATAAAAATTGTTCATTTGCTCCAACTTTTTGAGTTCATTATTCTTCTCAAATGCTACTATTGGCCATTACTTGAACCGCTGGCATCCTCAGGTTTCATAGTACTTCAAATGAAGGCACAATGCACCTTTCTTTGCAGCTTGTCTTGTGCTTTCTTTGACCAGTAAAGGATATAGCACTGATAAATTCTTCATGGTTGCCAGACAACAGTCACTGTGGACAATTTCAAGATGCATTGTATACAGCCAACATTAGCCCAAGCTTCCCTCAAATTCTGCCATTATGTCACTCTGTTGATTCATGTCAATTGTTCCAGCCAGCTGTTCATATCAAACAAAAAGCATGTATGAGATTTGTGTTTAGGGGCAATGCCTCTTCTCCAAACAACAACAACAACAACAACAACAACAACAACAACAACAACAACAACAACAACAAGAAGAAAAATTAAGTGGCAGCGAGACCTAAGGAAGTTTATATAACCAGTCTGAAATTTGCAGCATTTAAACCTAACTGAGAAGAAAATACTTTAAAAATTGTTTATTCATGAAAAGTAATTCTTAACAATGGGTGTAATCATTTAAGAGCAGTGGAATGGAGAAGGCAAAAATGAACACTTATTACACTTTGAATCAGAAGGAAGAGCTGGGTTAATGCATCTTATCAAGAGCTATCTATGACAAAGACACAACTTTTGGGATGATACTTACAGCTTCCCTTCTTCGTCGTTCAGCCTCTCTCATGCGTTCTATCTTCATCTTTTGGGCATTTTTAGCTTGTTCTTGTTCCTTATTTAGCCTTGCTTTTTCTAAAGCTTCATCTTCTTCCTTTTCCCTGAAAATAAAACAAAGTGTACAATTACATTTGGACCAAGAGCACAAAGGAAGTTAAAGAAGGTCAAAAAAGTTTCCATAGCAGGATCTTTAACTGACCCAAAAAAAAAACAGAAAAGCTACCTTTTTCTTTCCTCAGCTTGCCGTAGTTTTTCAAGCTCCACTCTTTCTCTCTGTTGACGTCTCTGTTCCTCTTCAGCTCTAAAGTTTTTCTCCTATTGAATGGTAAGACAACAACTTGTAAAAATACAGTTTGAATCATAGCTTCACCACAGGTCATACTAGCAAAATATTCTCGAGCATTTAATCAACACTACCAAGAGAAACCTTCAAAGAACATAAAATGAAATTGTTTAAGAATAAAATCATTCTTGTTTAAACAGTTTAAATGTCTCGCATACCCGTTCTTCCTTGTCTCTAGCTTGTTGTTTAAATTTTTCAAAGCTGCTTGCAGATGACAGTGTTCGAGATCCTCCTGAAGTTGTGTTGCTCAAGGTGGACCAAGAAGTTACCTGGCGCATGGGTTTGGGTGCTGAATCCTGCAGGACAAGGAAATTTATTATGTAAAGTAGCAACACTAAATTTTTATTACCCGAAATTCAGTAATTTCTATGTTCTTATGACTCTTAGTTTGGTAAGAAAAATTTCTGCAGAAAAAATCATCAACAAGTCTATGTGAAGTACTGGTATCTCTCACAGCTACCATGCAGAAAAATGAAAGGCATCTCATAGACCTATGGAGGACATTGTAAAGAAAACAAGGTTGAAGGGCAGAGGCAAAGTTATGAAGTGAGGACAAACCAACCTTCTTCGTTGATTGATTTTCATTCTTTTGCCCTGAAAATGAGAACAAATTATATCAATTACAGTACTTGGTATTTCAATGTTTAACAAACAATTGGAATTCATTAGAAAGAACTGTCATTTCCAAACTTACCTATAGATGCAAGTGAACCTGGTAACTCTCCAACAGTAAATGTTAGTCCACTACTCCCTGTAAATGAAAGAAAAACCGTAAGACAGGAATCTAACCATGGTTAAATGAAATGACCTGTTCAGTACTTCAGGTAAACAAGGGAACATTAATAGCCTGGAGATATGACCAGAACATTCAAAATTTAGACAGCTGCTTTGGGTCATCCTGAAGTGTTACACAACGAGAGTGACTTCAGGATGACTTCTGTTGGTTACAGTCAAATCAATAGGATGAGGTCCTTTACCTGTATAACATGACCCCAAGAACTGAGGAAATTTGGGACCAAAGAGGGTAGTTTATATGCTGCCATAACTAATTTCTATAATTCTGAAACTCATTTAAGGAGAAAGGAGTTTGGGTATCTTGCCAAAAGTAAAGGTTAAATTGAGGACAGCACCTGGTCGTGAAGTTGACGGCAAACTTTTTTCTGCCACAGGGGTAGGTGGTTTTTCTTTGAGGACTGCTGCGGGTGTGGTGTTGGTAGGTGCCAATGGTGTTGATGGCTTTGTCATAGCTGTAGTTCTTGCAAATGAAGAGACAGCTTGTTTTGGAGCTGTGGTACTTGTTGAGGTAGGTTTCTGTACTGTAGATACAACTGGTTTTGCTGTGGACTTTGGTACAACTGGTGGAATACTGGGAGGGACTGGTTTAACAGGTTTAGGTGGTGCTACAGTTGCCAGTAGGGGGTTGCTTGTTACTGTTGTAGGCAGGGGAGTTGTGGACACAGCAGTAATAATAGCAGGTTTATCTTGAGGCTTAGGTGCTGGAGTAGACTTGGAGACTGGTGCAACTAAAGCAATGGTAAGAAATACACTTAAGCCTTCCAAGCTTAATATCTCTATCCCTTTATCAACCCAGAAGGGATTAAGGTTTTATTTCTCCTTAAAGAGGAACTTAGGGTGCTAAGCAATAGTCAGAAATGGCTTGAAAGACTGCAGGATCAGTCAAGTCTCCTTTCTAGCAAGCCAGTTCTGTTTAAAGGTTAGCATCCTTAGTAAAGGAATTTTGAGTGTCAAGCAGACAGATGACGATTCAAAAAAAGGAGGCAATTCTGATGGTCAATTCTGTGATCAAAACCAGACAAAAAAAATTGTGCATTGATCAATCCTTAAGTTTCAGGCTGTCTAGGGTACCTGAGCCAACCAGTTTTTACTCTTGTGAAAGAGGAAAGAAAGATGGTCACTACAAGCTTTTTTTCTTGTGAGGTTGTGTGGTGTTTCTAAATTGTCACCAGGAAACAACAAATCAAAGCAACTACGTAGAAGCCATAGTTGCAGCTTATTTTCATTCCAGAATGAGATTCAATACAATCCTTTAGGGGCAGATTTTGTCCCTTCGAAAAATAATAATAAATGGGTGTTCAAATAAATTTGGTTAAGAAAATTCTCTTTGAATTAAGCACTTATCAAAACAGCACATAAATGAGCAAAAAGTCTATTGCATCAATTTACTCAAACCATCATTAATTTCTAAAGCAATGATTTGAAAATGGTAACTTGATGTCAC